CTCAAGCAAACCTCCCAGCTCAGCCTCTCGAGTAACTGAGACTCCAGGCATGTGCCACTATGCTAGGCTAATTTTTGCATTTTTTTTTTAGAGCCAGGGTCTCACGATGTTGCCCAGGCTGGTCCCGAACTCTGGGGCTCGAGCGATCTGCCCGCCTCAGCCTCTCAAAGTGTCTTCCAGCTTTTATGTGTCTGAAATATCTTTATTTCACTTTGTTAAAAATATATTTTCATCAGGTATAAAATTCTAGATTTTCAGTTTTTTCCTTCAGCACTTTAAAGATCAAGTTGCACTGCTGTCTTCTCACTCGAAGTATTTCTGACAAGAAATTTGATATCATTCTTATCTTTGTTCCTATGTAAATAACATGTCCTTTTGTCCCAGCTGCCTTCAGGATTTGATCTATATCATTGGTTTTGTGCAATTTGATTGTGTGACTTGTTACAGTTTTCTTTGTATTTCTTGTACTTGACGTTGAACTTCAGGTCTATGGGTTTATATTTTTCATTATGTTTGGAAAATTTTGACCATTATTTCTTCTAATATTTTTCCATGTCTCAACTTTGTAAACATAACAGATATAGTTAAAATTAATGTTAGTGTCTTTCTCTGCTTATTTTAATATGTGTCAGTTTGGGGTTAGTTTGGATCAAAATAAGGATTGATTGGTTTTTCTTATTATGGGCTGTGTTTTTTGCTTATTTATATGCCTAGTAATAGGATGTCAGGATGCCAGACTGGAAATTTTAACTTGTTGAGTAATGGTCATTTTTTTTTTTTTTGAGTTGGAATCTCACTCTGTCGCCCAGGCTGAAGTGCAGTGGCACGATCTTGGCTCACCGCAAGCTCCACCTCCCGGGTTCACGTCATTCTCCTGCCTCAGCCTGCCAAGTAGCTGGGACTACAGGTGCCCGCCACCGCGCCCAACTAATTTTTTGTATTTTTAGTAGAGATGGGGTTTCACCGTGTTAGCCAGGATGGTCTCGATCTCCAAACCTTATGATCCACCCGCCTCAGCCTCCCAAAGTGCTGGGATTACAGGCGTGAGCCACCGCGCCCAGCCAATTTTTAATCGTATGTACAATTTCTTGAGCTTTGTTTTGGGATGTATTTAAGATCACTGGAAAGTTGGATCCTTTCAGGTCTTGTTTTTATGATTCATTAGGTGGGTCCAGAGCGATGCTCAATCTAAGACTAATTCTTTCCCATTCCTGGGGTGCTTAAGTACTCCACGCACAGCCCTATAAATTGTGAGTTTTTCTAGTCTGACTTGTGGCGACCCCCATCTCTATAAAAAAATAAAGAGGCTGGGCACAGTGGCTCATGTGTGTAATCCCAGCACTTTGAGAGGCCGAGGCGGGAAGATCACCTGAGGTCAGCAGTTTTGGCCAACATGGTGAAACCCAGTCTCTACTAAAAATACAAAAAAGTAGTTGGGTGTGGTGGTGGATGCCTGTAATCCCAGCTACTCTGCTGAGGCTGAGGCAGGAGAATCGCTTGAACCTGGGAGGCGGAGGTTGCAGTGAGCCAAGATAGCGCCACTGCACTCCAACCTGGGCAACGAGAGTGACACACCATCTCAAAAAATAAAAATCAGTAAATAAATAAATAAATGACTACCTCATCCAGAAATGCCTTTACAGACACACTCATAAATAAATGTTTAACCAAGTATCTGTGCACACCATGGTCCCTTCAAGTTGACATATGAAATTACCCATCACTCCAGCCTTCAGCCATGGGTTTGTGTCATGCATAGATTTCTAGAACTCCTCTTTGCATAGTGCCCTCCTTTCTTTTTTCTGCCCCATTTCTCTGCCATTTCAGCTGTCTCAGCCTGATATCTGTCTCCTCAGCCCAGTAGGATCTCCCTACTCTGCTCAGACTCCAGCTCTCTGCACTGCAGTTGGGAAATTATCCCCAGGCAGAGAAACCAGATGACTTTGGGGCTCATCCCACAAATTTCCTTTCTCCTAGGGATCAGTCTTTTGCTTCCTGTTGTCCTCTGCCTGAAAGTAGTTGCCAAGTTGTACTATTTTATATATCCACAACAGCATGAGTTAAACCAAAGTCTGGATCAGCAGACTACTAGATTTTTTTTTAAACAGCTTTATTAATCAATGCATTTTGTCCATGTCTACAGCTGTTCATGGTGGGAGGACTAACCTATAGCTGGAAGGATTAATTTTCAGCTGCTTTATAGTATTTTATTATATGAATTATATCAGTTTGCCCATCCTTGTATTGATAAACATTACCCATGAAGTGTGTTCAAATTGTCTGTGATACAAATAATGCTTCAGTGACTACCCAGAATGGGATTGCAGGTTTATAGGATACATACTTCTTCACCCTTATTTTTTACTAGATATTGCCAATTGCTTTCCAAATTGTACTGTTTCATATATCCACAAGGGCATGAGTTCTGTTTGATCCACATCCATGCCAATACTTGATCTTGTTCAATTAATTTTTCTAGTGTGTAAATGAGTGCAAAATCCATTATTTTAGTTTTTCCTAGATTACTAGTGTACACATATGCACATATATATTATTAGGTATTTGTGTTTCCCATTCCATAGCTTTTTTATATCAATTGTCCTTTTTAAAAATTGGGTCATCTTTTTGTTATTGATTCTTTGGAGTTCTTTATAAATTCTACTTACTAATCATCTTTTGATTATATGTATTAGAGTTGTTTTTCCCAGTCTTGACTTGTCTTTTAGATGCATATCTTGCCTTTTTTCATATAGAAGTGTTAACTTTTTTGGAGGGGACGGAGTCTCACTCAGTTGCCCAGGCTGGAGTGCAGTGGTGCAATCTCGGCTCACTGCAACCTCTGCCTTCTGGGTTCAAGCGATTCTCCAGCCTCAGCCTCCTGAGTAGTTGGTACTACAGGCATGTGGCACCGCACCAGGCAATTTTTTTTTTTTTTTTTTTTTAATCAGAGACTGGGTTCTACCATGTTGCCTAGGCTGGTGTTGAACTCCTGAGCTCAAAGCAATCCGCCCGCCTCGGCCTACAAATGTGCTAGATTATGTGTAAGCCACCATGCCCGGCCTAGAAGTGCTAACTTTTAATGTACTCATATTTATCTATATTTTCCTAAATGATTTGTGCCCTTTGTGTATTCATCTCTTGACCTCTAAACACAGGAGTGCCCCAAGGGCTCAGGCTACGGACCTCTCTATTTACATTAATTCTCAATAATCTTGCTTGGTTTCAGGACATCTGTAGCCTGATGGCTTTTCTGTGTAGCTTCTCCACTTAACTCCAGCCATATACAATAATTTAAAGATCCCCTACTGACCTAGATACTATGTTTCTTCTTCCCCTATTACCCAAGTTTCTTGAGTAGGGAGTCTGCAGTCACTGCCTCCATTTCTTCACCTTCCAGTCACTATTCAACCCAGGGCAGCTTGGTTTTTGTCCTACTAGTCTACTGATACTGAGATTTTTTTCTTAAGCAGCACAGCTCCCCCCCTCCACCCGCCCCACCCCTTTTTTTTCCAAATTAAGTCTATGTGAAATCGCAGTATATTAAATAGAAGCAGAATTGCTTTGGGACTGGGTTGGGGAGGATCTAGAACCCAGACTGCACTTTCTTCTCATCTCTCTGAGTTGCCCCAAAGGCATCTATACCTTTCCAATTTTTCTAACCTCCCAAACACCCTAATCTCCAGCGATAATGAACAATTTCATCTCTGGACTTCTGCACAATGCTCCTTCATCTGCCTTGAACCTGCCAGACCTCTCAGCTCCAGGAGCACTTCCCTGCCTACCTTCCCCTTTATCATAACTTTAATTTTTTTTTTTTTTTTTTTGAGACGGAGTCTTGCTCTGTCGCCCAGGCTGAAGTGTGCAGTGGCGCGATATCGGCTCACTGCAACCTCCACCTCCTGGGTTCAAGCAGTTCTCCTGTCTCAGCCTCCCGAGTAGCTGGGACTACAGGCACAGGGACTACTGGGACTTCACCACCGTGCCCGGCGAATTTTTGTATTTTTAGTAGAGACGGAGTTTCACCATATTGGTCAGGCTGGTCTCAAACTCCTGACCTCAGATGATCCGCCCACCTCGGCCTTCCAAAGTGCTGGGATTACAGGCATGAGCCACTGCGCCCGGCCCACAATCTAATTTTAGCATAGGTATTGAATTGCAATCTTTTACTTACACATCTTCCTTACTAAATAGCTTCTAAAGATCAGAGATCCTATATTTTCCCCCCTAAACTCTTTAATGTATATAAACAATGGAGTGAATAAATCAATGAATGAATGGCTGAGGAAACTGAACTACACCAAAGTCTATTGGCAGACCACCAGACTTTTTAAACAGCTTTAAGATATAATTCACATACCATGCAAATCATAGGGTGGTGCAACCGCCACCACAATCTAATTTTTTTTTTTTTTTTTTTTTTTTTGAGACGGAGTCTTGCTCTGTCGACCAGGCTGGAGTGCAGTGGCGAGATCTCGGCTCACTGCAAGCTCCGCCTCCCGGGTCCACGCCGTTCTCCTGCCTCACCCTCCCGAGTAGCTGGGACTACAGGCGCCCGCCACCACGCCCGGCTAATTTTTTCTATTTTTTAGTACAGACGGGGTTTCACCGTGTTAGCCAGGATGGTCTCGATCTCCTGACCTCGTGATCCACCCGCCTCGGCCTCCCAAAGTGCTGGGATTACAGGCGTGAGCCACCGCGCCCGGCCCACAATCTAATTTTAAACTATGTTTATGCTGCTACGAAAAAGCCTATAACCATGAGCAGTCACTTTCTATTCCCCACCCCCAAACCCACTCCCTAGCCCTAGGCAACCACTAATCTTTCTCAGACCGATAACTTTAGTATAGGTATAAATCGATCACAGAGCCTCAAAATCCACCCAATATCTGGGCCATGATGTGAAATATGGTAAGTAATCGTCCCACATTATCAACTTGTAACGCAGAAATGGAGGGAGGAAAAAAAAACTCGCAGTCCCCAGTAGCATTTGTGAAAAGTACCTGATAACAGGCTGTGGTGGAGGAGAGTTCAGCCCCCAGAAAAGATCACGGATTAGGAATTACATAAGCATAGGTCTCAGGCCCTTTTATTTTGGACGCGATCCTTCCACGGGATCGCCTCCGGATGGGTGTTGCGCTGGGAGCCACACGGGAAACCTCAAGAGTCAGAAACAGGCGTTGAAGGCAGGCGGCATTTTCCAAACCAGTTGGGTCTCCGGCGCTGCCTGGCGGTAGCGTCTCCCGGAGTCGCGCGCGCATGACGTAGAGGGCGCGCGATGACGCGCGCGCGGCGCGGTGCACGCTGGGATATTTAAGTCTCCTCCGCGGCGCGGAGCCGCGATGTCTCCGGCGGCTGCGGCGGCTGGAGCAGGCGAGCGGCGGCGGTCCATAGCGAGTGTCAGGGACGGCCGGGGCCGGGGCCGCGGCGGGCAAGCCGGGGCCGCGCTCCTCGGCCTGTCGCTGGTCGGCCTCCTACTGTACCTCGTGCCGGCTGCGGCTGCGCTGGCCTGGCTGGCCGTGGGGGCTACCGCGGCCTGGTGGGGACTGAGCCGCGAGCCCCGAGGTTCGCGCCCCTTGTCCTCCTTCGTTCGGAACGCGCGACATCGGCGAACACTGTTCGCTTCGCCTCCGGCCAAGTCGACAGCCAACGGAAACCTCCTAGAGCCGCGGACCCTGCTCGAAGGACCTGACCCTGCCGAACTGCTACTCATGGGCAGTTACCTGGGCAAGCCCGGGCCGCCGCAGCCCGCCTCCGCTCCGGAGGGCCAGGACCTGCGGGATAGGCCTGGCCGCCGCCCACTCGCCCGCCCGGCGCCGCGCTCCCCGCAGCCGCATCGCGTTCACCACGTTTACCCCTCTCTCCCCACTCCTCTTCTCCGACCCTCCGGGAGGCCTTCCCCACGGTAAGATGCGCTGATTTTCCCAGAGCATCCTGTGGTTCGGCTGGCTTGAAATCGAGGACTTGACTTTTAAATCCGATTTGCTTTTTCATCTAGTCCAAAGGGGATTGTGTGTGGTTTTGCCCTCCTTAACACCTTGGTGTGTGCCAGCCGTCTCCTGGCCTCGTCTAACTGTTGGAATGAGATGTGTTGCCAAAACGATTCCCTTCTTTTCAGTTTTAAAAACTTCCTGAATTTTAGTGCAGTCTAGATGTAGTCTACATTTAGATTTTTCCCTCTCAAATTGTTGAAATCCATTGTTGAGACAGCTGTTAAGCAGCTGTCACTCTCTGCCCTTAGATGGAATAGGGGAAAGTTGCCATAAAAACACCGTGTTCTGTGTTGCTTTGGAAGACACTTAAGTTCTTTGGAAAATGTCTGAACTGGTGGATTTTTAGCCGTTTAAATTTTTGACATTCTTTTATGCTTTGGTTCCATGATTTGTCTCACATTCTCTGCAGGGATTGTGGGACTTTACCAAATCGGTTTGTAATAACACCTCGAAGACGCTATCCGATCCATCAGGCCCAATATTCCTGTCTGGGGGTACTTCCCACAGTGTGTTGGAATGGTTATCACAAGAAGGCTGTGCTGTCCCCTCGCAACTCCAGGATGGTGTGTAGCCCAGTTACTGTGAGAATCGCCCCTCCCGACAGAAGATTTTCGCGTTCTGCGATGTGAGTATTATCGTTGGAAGAATACTCTCCCTTTTCGTGTCCACTTTATTCTTCTCCAGTTGTTCCTATGACAACATGACTACAACGCAAAAAAGAAAAGACAAAGCTGCTTATTTGAATAAGAAATACCAAATTCGAGTAATTTTGTTTTTCGCTTTTTGCCCTTGATGAAAAAGTAGCTTTACTTGCTAAGGGGAACTGCTGTGAGTGTATAAATTATACTTTGATCTGTTGGTTAGCTTCTGATTTCCCGTTTCTGAAATCTGTGCTATATGGCGTGAGAATTAAAATATCTTACAGCTAGAATCTTGTCTTTCATTATAGACCAGAGCAGATAATCAGCTCAACACTGTCCTCACCATCAAGTAATGCCCCAGACCCATGTGCAAAGGAGACTGTACTGAGTGCCCTCAAAGAGAAGAAGAAGAAAAGGACAGTGGAGGAAGAAGACCAAATATTCCTTGATGGCCAGGAAAATAAAAGAAGGTAACAGACTCAGGAGAGTAGTAAGCGGGTTTCCCGGTTGGACTCCTATGGGATGAGATGTAGACATTCCCATAAAGATACAGAGGCCACCTCCAGTTTGTGAGCCTTTGTAGGCCCCCTTCTTTGGCTTTCATGGAAGAACCTAATAACAAGCGTTTTAATGCTGTTCATTTCAAGGCACAGGTTAGATCGATGTTACAATTTACCTTTTCCGTGAGTAGTAGAGATAAGCTGACAGCTATTAGCCATGTTAGTTCGCCTCGTGCTTTTGTAGAAATGTGTTAAAGTTTATTTTCAAGATAAAAGGCTCTAAGTCTTCCCATTGGAATTTTATGGTGTTCAGTTATTTGGGTAACCACCAGTTCCAGTGTCTTAATTTTGCTGAAGGAAATGCTTGTGAAAGAAAAATGAAAACTAGAGTTTGGTAGATTTAACAGTAATGAGATTAAAACAAATTTCCTGGTGGGGCAAGGAGGCTCACGCCTGTAATCCCAGCACCTTGAGAGGTCGAGGCAGGTGGATCAGCTGAGGTCAGGAGTTCGAGACCAGCCTGGCCAACATGGTGAAACCCCGTCTCTACTAAAAATACAAAAATTAGTGGGACGTGGTGGCAGGCGCCTGTAGTCCCAGCCACTCGGGAGGCTGAGACAGGAGAATTGCGTGAACCAAGGAGGCGGAGGTTGCAGTGAGCCGAGACTATGCCGCTGCACTCCAGCCGGGGTGACAGAGTGAGACTCCAAAAAAAAAGGAAAAAAAATTCCTTTCGTGGTTTATAGAATAACCTAATGAAAATGGGATAAATAGTTTTCTAAGTATAGAAAGAAAGGAAGTTGAAGTGGCTGAGCATTTATTGAGCACCCACTGTGTATGAGACCCTACTCCAAATGATATGGATAGAGCAGTAGACAAGACAAATCTCTGCTCTCATGGGACTCTTGAGGGAAACACCATTTTATAAGACTGGGTGTGATAGTACACACCTGTACTCCTGACTCTTTGAGAGGCCAAGATGGGAGGATCGCTGGAGCCCAGGAGCTCAAGACCAGTCAGGGCAACATAGTGAAACCTCGCCTCTACAAAAAATTAAGAAATTAGCCAGGTGTGGTGGTGCATACCTATAGTCCCAGCTACTCTGGAGGCTGAGGCAAGAGAATTGCTTGAACCCAGGAGGCAGAGGTTTGTCGCACTGAGCCAGATTGTGCTATTGCACTCCAGCCTAGGCAACAAGAGTGAAACTCTGTCTGGGGAAAGAAAAAATTTACCTTTCAGAAACTTAGGGATTTTAAACAACCGTTTACTGGTCTGGCGTGGGCTCTGTGCTCCATAGAAGTAGTATAAGGCCCCAGAAATGTGAGAATACACTTTAAAGGGACAAAAAAAAGTCATGTCATTTCATTGAGACTTTTTTGATTTGTCACAGGCGCCATGATAGCAGTGGCAGTGGACATTCAGCATTTGAGCCCCTGGTGGCCAATGGAGTCCCCGCTTCTTTTGTGCCTAAGTACGTACGAGTCTGTCTGGATGAAATACCACTGTTTGGAAAAAAGGCATGATCAGAGCTGTTGCCCTATGGATTTTCCTGTTTGTTTTTTGCATTGCTTAATTAGTTCAGGTTTACATCTTTGAAATTAGGAACACTTTGAGTAACTTTCCACAATTAACTGCCTTCTGTCTAATTCCTTTTAATGTTCTTGCATTAATATGGATGAAATATGCTGAGACTAAGAGGTTTTATAAATATATTTAATAACCAAGCACATAGAAGGATTGCAAAGTTTGTGCAGTGGATAAAACAGTATGAAATTAAATGTTAAATTTCTACATATCAGTTTAAAAACAAATTGGAGGAAGAATTGGATGGAAAGGAAAGTGGCTCAAAAGTATGTGCGGAAAGACAGGATAACTTAGATGCCTCATCTGAGTCAGCAGTGTGATGTGGCCACCAGGAAAACTAATGTGCTCCTGGTCTGTGCTCTTAGAAGAAAGACTAGAATGAGGCAGGTAGATGGTATTCCTGCCTTCTGTAGTTCTGCTCACTGTCCGTGGAGCACTGTGGTCAGATCAGTGTACTGCACTGTAAGGGAGGATGTACACAAACGGAAATTCATTCCCAGTGAAGCAACGAAAATGTTAAGGAGATTTTCAACAGCCCAAAGTGGGGGTGGTGGATGATGGGGTTTTGGAGTTATGGACGTGTTAGCCCAGAGCAGAAAAATCTCGGGGGGAATAAGGAAATAAGTGACGGAAGGATAATGGGCCCTAAAAACCAAAGGACTGTCCCTTGAAAGAAGCAAAATAACTTGCTCTGTTTGACTTCAAATAGGATCCGTGGGTGAAAGTTAGAGGAAATACATCATAATCCACTGTGAGAGTAAACTCGTTCATGGTTGACGTGGGTCACTCTAGGAGAGAGTTGTCTATATTGTAACAGGTTGGATATCTGTCCTACAGGAAAGATGCATAGGAGATTTCTGTTTCAGTTGGAGGTTTAGAAAAATGATGGGTTCCTCTTAATTCTGATTTTTTTAAACAGCTTTGTTGAGGTATAATTGACATACAATAAACTACTTGTTTAAAGCATGTGACATTTTGACACGCATTCACCTGTGGAACCATCCCACCAGTAAGATAATGAACATCCATCACCTCCAAAAGTTCCCACATGCCTGTAATCCCTCACTTCAATTCCACCCCTGTCCCCAGGCATCCACTGATCTGCCTTCTGTCACTGTAGATAGGTATGCATTTTCCAGAATATTCTATACATGGAATCATACATTTAAGTTTTAAATATTTGGCTTTTCTTACTGACTTTGTCAGATAGATTTGGCCAGATTGTTAACAGTAAAAATTAAAAGCATTATTCTCTTCCCTTCATGTTTATTAAGAAAGATGTTATGACCGTGGATGAAACCATAAAAGAATGTTGCCTTCAATAAAGCATCTGTCTTCTTCCTTTTTATCAGGCCTGGGTCTCTGAAGAGAGGCCTCAATTCTCAGAGCTCAGATGACCACTTGAATAAGAGATCCCGAAGCTCTTCTATGAGCTCCTTGACAAGCGCTTACACAAGTGGCATCCCTAGCTCCAGCCGCAATGCCATTACCAGTTCCTACAGCTCCACTCGAGGCATCTCACAGGTACAAGTACAGCTCTTGTAATGTAGGGG